TAACATATATGCCTAACTTACCATCTTACCTAATAATCAAGGCATTCATAAAAGATAAACTCTTGTTCTTATCTAGTACCGACGTGAAATTAAAATTAATCTTTCGTTAACATGATGTCAAAATTTGCTACTATGTGTTTGTGTTAAGAGACTATATGTGGATAAATGAAGGATTAAAAATACAACCACATCTTTTGTGTGCCCATTTCCTTTAATCATCTTTCTTGAACAATAGCCGGCGACCGCGAACAGATATACGAGTATGAAGGCAGCGATGCCGAGGATGATGACGACGGTGTTGGTGGTAACCTTGTGCATGCCCCCGTCGCCGCTCTGGCTGCAGCCGCTGGAGCTGGAACTCCAATGCTTGGGTTGGCAGCCTCGGGTCACGGCCACGTGTTGGCTAATGCTCACGCACACTCCCAGGCACAACCACATTCACGAATTCACCTCCATGGACACGGGCATGGAATCCCACAGGTCAGCGCAGCTGACCTCTTTTTGCCCCAACCACCTGGTCATGGACAACAGATAAATTCCAGGCAGCACCAACACCAGCATCTACACCAAATATCCGGGGTCTCAAGTCCCGGTTTGCCTGGGCCCTCACGATCTGGTCTTGGTCCTGGCCAACTGCCAGTTACCTCTAAGGCTCAGCAAAGACCGACTCCGCCAGCACATAATCCCCATCAGCATCAGCCTAATCCTGCCCTACGTTGTCAGCAGACACAGCATATTCAGCCCGGCTTACAGCGACATTCTCAGCAGCAACAGCAGCTATCCAACCAGGTGACCAAATGTTTTCTATTTATAATCATTTTATATCTGAAGGAGGCGAATTCAATTAGTATGGTTTAAGTAAAATATGAACGTTTATCTACTCTTTTATGATGGACATTTTTATGAATACTTTAGACGTAGATGCAGTACTTGGTATGTTACAAAAGTTGTGAACATTTGGTCATACCAAAGCTATTTGACTGCATGAGAATGAGACCAAGTATCTTGGTGTTTATATCCATGAAATTGTTTAGTTGTATTTTGCGCTGGGCAGTGTATGGCATTGGGAATCTGCCCATAAGCTTGGTTTTACCAATTCTGGAGATGTTGGGGAGATGCTCATTTCGTAGGAAAGTGCATCCTCCCTCTTTTCGAGGGAAACCGACCTAAGCTTTCGTCCATCGTGCACTTTCATAACAAATGAAAGTTTCTCCAATAATAAGCAAAATTATACCGGAATTTATGCTAGATTTTTCGCGAACACTTTATTGTGGTGCTTTCTACTTAAATTATTTTGATAAATATTCTCCACTTTTAGTAGTTGTTTGACCTTGTTTTCACATTATACATGATAATTTCCAGAGTCCGGAATTGCAGGACTTTCATATGTCTTGTATAATCTAAATGTTTTTTTTTAATATTCGGACTTTGAGCTTGGGACATTTCCAGACGTTTAACGGCATTGTAGCTGGCATCGTCAATGGGCTTTGTCGGTCTTACCAAAACACGATAATTCGTCAGAGAAAAGTGAAGTCGATCCTTTGACCACTTGTCTGCTAAACAGTTGTGGTATCTCTCCTGTATTGAAATATTCACCTATTCTATATCCTCGTATCACTCCTTCACTATCACAATTGTTTATTTGCTTATTTAAATGTGGTATGCTGTGCCATTTTGAGCGGATTTCATGAGACCTCTTCACTCTCTAAACAGGCTTTCTTACCCTCCCTAATCCTTGTGCTGGGAGTGTTGATCTGAATCTGCCTTAAGTTAGCTGCATGTGGTGAAAATACGAGAAAACGAAAAATCCGAGAGACAATCGGTATGCTGACTGAAAGAAATCTAATGAACAGAAGACTTGAAGAAGGTAGGATCAACAATGTCAAACCATCTTGTACTGCATACCTTCGTGAAATATTTTTAATTTCAGGAAAGTAAATCATAAGGAAACCAAGATGAGACGTTTACACTGAGCCTAATCAAAACAAGTAGAACCACAATATTTTGTGTTTATAACATACAAGCTTAAGGCAGAGGAGGTCATAGACTTGGTATTATGTATAGAAGCAGGCTAAATGCAGCCGAGATTAGACCTAGTTTGCTAACAATGGATGTGTTTGGTCATGGACGTGTTCCGTGAATTAAAGGCTTGACCAAGTTGCAAAAATAAGCTCAAACAACTACTATGCAACGAAGGACATCGCGACTATAGAAAAGGCCACACCATCCTGGTCTTCATACCTATTCTTCTCCCTTTTTGTTATTAGTAGGTTTTAAAAATACGTTTTTTTAAAAATAAACAATAGTTCGTTCAAGTCCCGTGTTTGGATTGACAATGAATATTGACAATGAATATTGACTTGATTTTTATTTCGTCTGACAGTAAATGAGTAAGGCTGCTGCTTAGTTTTCATTTTGCATTTTGATTGGTGTCTTCTGGACGCGATACCTATTTTTGATGAAAA